GATTAATGTGCTTGACTGCTAATGGAAAGAGCTGGAAATTTGAGTCCACTCCGAGGATGAGGCCTAGCAATCTACTCCTGAACCAACTACAGAGAAGAGTTCTACCCTGACCCACATGGATTTGTCATGAATCAGAATTGGCTTGATGGCAACTGGCTTTTTGTTTGCTTTTAAATAAAATTCAGACTCAAATTTTTTTTGTAGTAATACATGGGTGGTGCTGTGTGTTATATCATATCTAAAGGCACATAGTAGCTTGTATCTTATTGTGATAGGAAAATTGATCAGTGGGATCAGGCCGTCTCAGCCAGCTCTCTGTGTGACAACATTCCCTGTTAATTTTTACCTAATGATTTTAGCATCCATTTAATGATTATAGACTAAATCCACTATTTCACATAGGGCTGAAAAATAGTGACAATTTATTTTTTAAAGATTGCAAAAATGGCATAGGATCCATGTTTGACTTCCTCTGGGAAAGGAGAATCAAACTCAAAATCAACCCAAGGCCAATTCCTAGCAGGCAGAGGTTAGACATGCCTCCACCCTGTTCTGACACCAACCATCCCTCCCAGCGCACTCTCTGCTTCACATTTGGGTTCGATAATCTGCTGTAATGGCCACACAGAACTCATAACAGTACTCACGATTGTGGGCTTTATTAGGGAAGTGAACAGGGTACAATTCCAACTCAGAACTAACTCAGGATACAGCAGTTCTCCGGTCAGAAGTGCCTCTTCTCCGCCATACTGCAGGCACGCCTTGCTCTTATCTTTAGTCTCTCAGCCTTGAGGCTCCTTGGCCTCTGCCCTGCTAGGGCAAGCATTACAAAGTTCCTTTAGCCTGACTAAAAATATCCAGAGGACACATTCTACAAGCCAGCCTCCTGTTTGTAGACATTCAGCTTCAGTGGGTCTCTGGGTGGAAGCCCACAGCTGTTCTGTCTCTCCCTGCACCTGCTTCTGCTGCCATTGCTTTTCCAGATGGGGATTTGGCACTCCGCTTGTGGCTGCTCATTCTTGATGGTCCTGGGATCGTCTGTTCCTGCTTCTGAGATGGCTCCTTTAAAACCTAGTGAAACGGCAAAATGAATCAAACCAGGCACTAGAGGCCTTTACACCGTATTTGCATGGTCCCACCCAATCATTTGGAGTCCTGGTGTGGCGCTGTGGATTAATGCGCCAGACTGCAAAACCATTTGAACTGCAAGGTCGGCGATTCAAGCTCACCAGCTGCTCCTCAGAAACCCTATACAGGGTCGTTATGGGTTAGAATTGACCCAATCATTTGGTTGGCCTTAAGAAGACTTCGGATAGAAAAGCTGTTATCAAGCAAATTCATGGTACCACGGCCATCCTTTGATTAAATACTTGCTTATTATGAGACACCTTTCTTAGGTAAAAGCAAAATCAGTACTTAATTTTTTTTTTCCCCTTTGCCTATCAGTTTTTAGAATAATGAGTTGGTATCTTAGCCACAGCCAAAGGTTATCAATGAGATCTTTTTACTCGCATTAATATGAACTCACGAATTTTCATCGACTTTCAAGTCACTACAGCCATTATTTGAATGTACTTGTCTGCTATTGTCAGCGGAAGCCCTTGGAGTTAGGCCCTGTGACTGAGTCCTCTGACGGAACTTCTATGTTGGTGTGAATTCTTCACAACTGAGTGGGAGCCCAGCAGGACAGAGGTAACTGGTAACTTGGAGGGACTGTGTGTCTAGGCTTCCATGTTGTGATCATGCATGTAATTATAGACTGTTTTGTTGTTGTTGTTGTTGTTATGTGCCGTGGAGTTGGTTCCGACTCATAGCGACCATGTACAGGGTTTCCGAGGCTGTAAATCTTTACGGGAGCAGAAAGCCTCATCTTTCTCCCGCGCAACAGCTGGTAGTTTTGAATTGCTGACTTTGCGATTCACAGCCCAGTTCGTAACTGCTATGCTATCAGAGCTCCTTACAGACTGTTTTGTGTTCTGCTAAATGGCTGCATTCAGTTGTTGTTGTTGTTGTTTACAATTCCTTGAGCTACAGGGAGGACATCCTGCCAATCAATTTTTTTGTTTGTTAATTTAAGCCAAGAATCCTAACTGATCTAATAGGAAAGAAAGAAATTTGGAGAGCAGTTAAAACAACCGGGAGTGAAAAAAGTAACTTTTGAAAATTGAATGTGATATACTATCATTTACATAAATTAAAAACACAAAACTATATTTTGCTTTGTAAAAACGTAGTATGTACATAGCATGGGCATGTTGATTTGGTCTGATTGATAGTGGTCCTGTGTACAACAGAACGAACAAAACACTGTCAGTCTGGCACCATCCTCACAATCGTTACTACGTTTGAGCCCATTGTGGCTGCCACTGTGGCAATCCCAGTCATTGAGACGTTCCTGTTTTTGGTGAGCCACAATTTTACCAAGCATGGTGTCCTCCATGGACTGGTTCCTTCTGATAACATATACAAAGTATGAGAGACAAAGTCTCGCCATCGTTGCTTCTAAGAACATTCTGGTTGTACTTCTTCCAAGTTTGTTAGTTTTTCTTGCAATATATTCAAAATTCTTTGTGAACATCATAACTCAAAGGCATCAATTATTCGTTTGTCTTTGCTATTCATTGTCCAGCTTTTGCATGCATGAGGGCACTGAAGATAGCTAGAAATAATGTAGCTGTACCAAAATCATGAGATTTTGGTGGCGTAGGAGTTGTAGTGTGGCGCTGTATGATAAACTGTGTGCTGAGGTGCTGGACTGCAAGGTCGGCACTTAAAACTCACCAGCCACTCCTCAGGAATCTCTGGTAGCGAAGTAGTTAGGAGTTGCTCTGTTAACCTCAAGGTCAGCAGTTCGAAACTACTAGTCTTTCTACAGGACAAAGATGAGGCTTTCTGCTCCTGTAAGATTTGTAGCCTCGGAAACCCTATGCAGGGTTGCTAAGAGTCAGAACTAGTTCCACGGCACATAACCACTACCACCACCACCACCACAAGTTAGAACTGATTTGAAGGTATGGTGCTGTGGGTTAATGCACCAGACTGCAAAGCCGCTTGAACTGTAAGGTCGGAGGTTCAAGCTCATCAGCTGATCCTAAAAAAAAACATATACAGGGTCGCTATTGGTCGGAACCGACTCGACGGCACTTAACAACAACAAAGGGAGCAAAGAAATAACATCTACAAGAGAGATTTGTTGTTGTTAAGTGCCGCTGCGTCCTTTCTGAGTCATAGCAACCCTGAATAGGGTTTCTGAGGAGTGGCTGGTGAGTATGAACCATCAACCTTGCGTCTCAAATCGACCTTGGAGTTCAGCGCATTAACCCACAGCACCACACCAGGACTCCATAATATGGATGGGGAGTTAACAAGGAGTTTTGAGGGTACCGTGGTTAAAGCAGCTGGCAGCTAAGGGAAAAACTGGCACTTTGACCCCAGCAGCTGCTCCATGGGAGAAAAATGTGGCAATCTGCTTTTGTAAAGATTTCCAGCCCGGGCAGCCCTAGGGGACAGCTCTACATCCACTCCATAGCAGAGGGTTGGAATTTGGTCTGGGGAGTTCAAGATTAACTATGTAACAAGCAGCTCTGATGGCGAGTGATTCAAACTCACCAGCAGCTCCACAAAACACAAGACCTAATGACTGGAATACCATAAAGATTTCATTTAGGAAGCCTAAAAGGTTAGTTCTACCCTGTCCCAAAGGGTTCTTATGAGTAGAAATCAAGGCCATGGCAACAGCAGCTATGCTAATAATAAATAAACAAAACAAAATGGGATAGAGTTGATTCCAACTCACAGTGACCCTTTATAGGATTTCCAAAAATTATAAGGATGGTGTAGGACTGGGCAGTGTTTTGTCTTTGGTGTATTTAGGGTCACCAAGTTGGAACCAACTCGCTGGCACCTAACAAACAACTCTTTAGGGGAACAGACAGCCTAATCTTTCTTTTGGTGGGTTTGAACTGACCTTGAAGTTAGCAGTCCAACGCCTAATCCATGGTCCACCAGGTCTCCTTACTACAGCTATGTTGTTGCCCAGTTCTGACTCATAGCTACCTTGTATAGGGTTTCCGAGGGGCGGTTGCGAACCTTACGGTTAGCAGTCTAGTTTATACTATAGCACCATACCAAGAATTCGTCTCATGAAAGATTAGGGGAGATTTCTTTGGCACCCACTACAGTTTCTAATTAAATTCCAAAAGCTTTCAAAAATGATGTCAGACAATATGGAGAGAAAGGAAACAAACTGCGAAAGGAAGTAGGACTCTTTGTAATTTTTTAATAAAAGACTTTGCCTTTAACGTTCAGATACTAGAAACTGGTATCCGTAGAAATGGTGGGTAACCGTCAAAAAGATTTTAAAAAGCTCTTATTGGAGTCTGCTTCACCAATGTGCCTCTGATATCAACATTAGTGCCTTGTGTGGCTTGAACTTGAACACAAGATACTCACCCAAAGTTTTTTGTTGTTGTGTTTTTTAAATGCACGGAAGCCAGGAAAGTTCATAATTTGAATGGGGCGCATAGTGTGGCGCTGTAGGATAAGAACTGGACTGCGAGTCGATTTCAACCACAATGTCTTCGGTTCAAACCACCAGTGGCTCCTTGGAAATCCTATTCTACAGGGGTCATTGTGAGTTGGAAATGACTCAAGGGCACTTAACAACAACAAAGGCATTATTCAGAGATCAAGTGGCCCTACGTCAGGTGACAGTAAAAGCAGTCTGAGAGGTCGGTGAGAAGCTCCAGCTCCCAAGGTTAAGCACAGACGACAATTTAGGACTTCGAGTCGGAAGCAAGAAAGAAATCAGCAGAATGAACATCCGGCCAGCAACCAGAGGCAGCTGGGCGGGGATCGCCCAGTGCGCAGACTCCGCGTTCGCGCGCAGGAGCAGGACTGGGAAGCGCTCCGCTTTGGGCTGTCCCGCAAGTACTAGAAGTATTTCTAGTCTGGGGTCGGCCAGGCTGTTCTGCTGAGTCCTCCTAGAGAGTCGGGAGTGTATGGCGCTGCGCGGGGTTTGCGTCGTGGAGCTGGCCGGCCTGGCCCCGGGCCCGCTGTGCGGCATGATCCTGTCGGACTTCGGGGCGCAGGTGTTACGTGTGGACCGTCCCGGCAGCGCCGGCGACGTGAGCCACTTGGCTCGGGGCAAGCGCTCGCTGATCTTGGACCTGAAGCGGCCGCAGGGCACGGAAGTGCTGCGGCGTCTGTGCTCCCGGGCTGACGTGCTGCTGGAGCCCTTCCGCTGTGGTGAGCCCTGGGGCCCAGGCCCAATGGGCATGCGCAGGATCGTGCTCCGTTGTGCTCTTCCCGCCCCAGTCTTGCTAGGTGTATTGGAGAGAATGTGGTGGGACTGTTGGTAATTATTGTGTTTTTTTAAAGGTTCTACCTTAAAGTTGAAAGGAGCTCTGGTAGCTTAGTGGTTACGAATCGGGCTGCGAACCCTTAAGGTCAGCAGTTCGAAACTACCAGCTGCTCCGCGGGAGAAAGATGAGGCTTTCTACTCCCGTAAAGATTTACAGCCTCGGAAACCCTGTACA